CTCTCTCTCTTTTTTTCCTCTTTTCTTCTCTCCTGTTTTTTTTGCTGTCTTCTAATGTTTCTTTCTCTTTTGCTCTGCCTTCTCTTTCCTCTTTTCTTCTCTCCTGTTTTTTTTGCTGTCTTCTAATGTTTCTTCCTCTTGACCTCTGCATTCTAGTTCCTCTTTGCTTCCTTGTTCTCCTTCCCTATTCTTTTCTTTCTTTTGTTGTTAATTTTGATTTTTTTAAAGAATGGTTATGCACCTAATATTTTTATCTGGAGATGTGAAATGACATTTACTACATCTGATGGATATTGCCTAACTTGTATCTATAGTTACTAACCAAAAAAAATGTCACTACAAATTTACATAACTAAAGGGAAAATTCATATTCCAATGCTAAGAGTGGACATTTTAAAACAGGGTAGTGTGTGAATAGCTTATTCTTTTGATTTCATTCTTTCAGATGTGTATCTTGGAGAAACACACTGTAAATTAGGATGGGATGACTAAGGAATGTTAAAGGTTATTTCTGTTTTCATAAACAAGCAATAAAGTAGAATAACGTTTTATTTTATAATTCTTGAAGAAAACCGCTAAGCCATTGGACTATGCAATTACTGTAATTTAACATGAAAAATAAGGAATAAAAATAGTTGAAATTGAACTGCTCTCATCTAATCCCTTTCTCTCCTCTCTCTCCCCTCTCCCTCCCTCCATCTGGCTCAGCTCTGGCAAAACAAGAAAGGCTTATGAAACCTGAATTGAACATCAATCGTGACTATATTATAGTGGAAGCTGGAGATTCGTTCAGCATAACTTGCAGGTAAATACCTGGCATTCTTGGCATTCCAAACTAAGTGTAAATTTAGATTTCTAGGAGAAGTTGTCCTGAACTATTACAGGAATTGGATATGGTAGTCTTGAGAAAAGAAGGACTAGGGATGATATGATAGCAGTATTCCAATATTTCAGGCACTGCCACAAAGAAGGTGAGGTTAATCTATTTTCCAAAGCACCAAAAGGCAGGACAAGAAACAATGAATGGAAATTAATCAATGAGAGAAGCAACCTAGAATTAAGGAGAAATTTCCTGACAGTGAGAACAATTAACCAGTGGAATGGCTTGCCTTCAGAAGTTGTGGGTGATCCATCACTGGAAGCTTTTAAGAAAAGACTGGACAGCCACTTTTCTGAAATGGAATAGCATCTCCTGTTTGAGCAGGGGGTTGGACTAGAAAACCTCCAAAGTCCCTTCCCACTCCTATTATTCTCTTATTCTGAAATTCCTTCTAGGATCTGAGACATAAGCCTAAAAATTACATTTTTCGTAAACAATTTGAGCAGAGGGAAAAATAAATGTCTATGCAGGGTAGACGATATGCAAGAACTGCTGAAACAAACTTTGGGATAAGATCAGGGGTGAAATTCAGCAGGTTCTGACAGGTTCTGGAGTACCGGTAGCAGAAATTTTGAGTATTTCAGAGAACCGTCAAATACCCCCTCTGGCTGGCCCCCGAGTGGGGAGGGAATGGGGATTTTGCAACATCCTTCCTCTGCCGCACCCACCAAGCCCCACACACAGAACCAGTAGTAAAAAAAAATGAATTTCACCACTAGATAAGATAGATGTAACATTGTGATAACCAGTGTGGTGTGGTGGTAACGCCGTTATGCTAGAAACCGGAAACCGTGAATTTTAGTCCCATCTTAGTTAAAGCTGGCAGGGTGATCCTGGGCCAGTCATTTTCTCTCAGCCCTGGGAAGAAGGCAATGGCAAACCACTATTGGAAATCTGCGAAGAAAACGGCATTGTAAGTCCAGGTGACTCACAATGATTTACAACTGGTCTTCCTATTTATGATCATCTAAGTAACTCACTGTGGGACAAGAGCCACACTAATATCGAAGTAGTGATGGAATAGGATCATTAAAAAAAGGGAAGCCAAAGGAGAAACAAAATAAAATATGAGTGACAAAAATTAAAATAATGTTTTAATTATTTTAAATAATTAAATTGAATTGTTGAATTGTCCTGTGGCGAATTGTCCCACAGCGAGTTGGCCGGGGCTAGTTGGCTGCGGCAAATTGACATAAGAAGATGGCCATGGCAAGTTGTCCCATTCTCTTTTGCATAGTGATAGCCACCATCCTGGCTACACACACACACACACACACACACACACACACAGACACTCCATACCTCCATACAAGGGCATTGTTATTGCTATGGTTACCTTTCCCAGCAGCCCTTTGCATTTCAGAAAAGAAAGATGGCACTCGCACACTTTAATCCCCCAGAATCTTTGAACAAGTTAATGTATCTTCCAAAGCAGCTTCAGGAGTTGCTGACCTGTGACAGCCTTGCTGAAAGAAGACAAGATTGCAGGATTTAGTGGCAGCAAAATAGGTGGTTTACAGGATCTTCTTCAACAGGAAAGACCATGATAGAGGGTAATACAATTATGTAACTGGGTGCCAAATAAATTCATTTTGCAATCAATGTGAGTCATAAGTGTTTTGTGAACTCTTTATGTTGAAAATTCAGTGAAAGAGCAGCAGCAGGTAGCATCCAGCCCCATCTTGGCCAATTGCTGAGAAGGAAAGAGAGACGGGAAAGGGTGGAGGAGGAAAATTTGGCATGGTCAGGACCAAGATAGAAAAAGTCTTCCTCTCAAGGATGGTATCTATTCTTAAATTTAAAGTATGAACTGTCTTTTTGCACTTGTATAGTCAGAACTAACCCTATTGGAAAACTTGAGATTAGAATTACAAAGTCAGAAGAGGATAGCCAGGAGAGACTAAAAATGGCTTCTAGTTGGTTAGCAGAATTGTTACTAATACCGATGTCCCTTGATGGACCACAGAAGAGGGATAGGAGGAATGGAAGATCTAAAATATTCTCTAGGGAATGTTCAGATGTCATTTCCCCAAAGTGCTTCAAAGCGTGCAGGTGTGCAAGTAGGGTACCCGTGTTTCATTCTTGAAAGCAGTCGTACTTTTCCGAGGGACCAAATGATAGGAACAGAGGACACGCAGATAAGCCAGGGAATGATTCTAGAATCATACAAGGGAGTAAATAGTATTTAAATATTAGCCAAAACAAAGCAAAGGAAATGCTCTAAAGACAGGTACAACATTGATACTCTGAATTATTTTCTCCTAATGTTTTCCAAAAGGTTACACAGGCCTCATAGCCTGCCTGCTGGCCTTATCAACTCTTATCTTTATTTGATTCCTGGAGGCTCCAGAAAGGAGAGGTAATACTGAAACAATTCTCTGCACCAGGCAGTTTCATATCTGGGAGAATATGCTCTATTGTGCCAATAAGCCTCCACTGAACATATAAAATACATCACTGGGCTGTAAAACAGGGATGTCCAACCTTGACAACTTTAAAATTGGTGGACTTTAACTCCCAGAAATCCCCAGCCTGGGGAATTCTGGGAGTTGGAATCCACGGCGAGCTGAAAACCACAGGTCTAAAAGTTGCCAAGATTGGACATCCCTGCTGTGAAGCGTGGTCAAACTCAAACTAGTTTCACAAACTTTACTCCACTGCTCAACCAGATTTCCTTTAATGTGAAATGTCAACATATACCTCCCTTGCTTTTTTTATTTTTTTTAGATTTCACATCCCATCTTTATTATGTACAATTCAAAGAGGCATACACAATTCTCCCTGATGTAGAACATAGAACAACAGAGTTTGAAAGGACTTTGAAGGTTTCTAGACCAACCCCGTGCTCAAGCAGGAGACCCCATTCCAGATAAATGGTTGCCCAATCTCTTTTAAAAAGCCTCTAGTGATGGAGTAACCACGTCTGAAGGCAAGCCATTCCGCCATTCCACTGGTTGATTGTTCCAACTGTTAGGAAATTTCTCCATAGTATAGGTTTCTTCTCTCCTTGATCAGTTTCCATCTATTGCTTCCTCTCCCGCTTCTTTGGAAAATAAATTACCCCCTCTTCTTTGTGGCAGTCTCTCAAATTTTGGAAGACTGCTATCAAATTCCCTCTAGTCCTTCTTTTCATTAGACTAAACTTACCCAATTCCTGCAATGGTTCTTCATATGTCTTAGTCTCCAGCCCCTGATTCACCTTTGTTGCTCTTTTCTGCCCTCTATATGTGTATACCTCTTCCTTTTTGTCCACCACATCAACCCTGTGAGGTAGGTTGGGCTGAGAGAGAGGGGAGGACTGGCCAAAGGTCACCCAGCCAATTTCTGCACGTAAGGGAGGTCTACAACTTTCCTGATTCCTAGTCTTCACCAAACTAGGTTTCCATGTTATGTCCTCCTTTATACGTGTCAGAAGCACCTACAAATTATGGATATAGAGTATAACATTCCACACTGGGCAAATAAAATAGGTATAACATAAAAGTCATAGAAAATGTACCACATGTAAAAAGCATGTAGAATAAATAGAATTAAAACTAAATGACATTTGCCCAGTATTGGGCCACGTTTTCTTTCCCAGCATGAGGTCTTCCTCTGTGCATCTTGAAGGACACGGTATATACCATAGCATGTGTTAGGTGGGTTCTTCTTCTTGGTGTTGTTTTCCATAGGGAAGGCCCATTTTCTTAGATTGTCTTTGATCTCCCCACCCTGCAGCATAGTTTCATTCATGATTTCCACAAAGACCAAGGTTGCTCTTCGCCAGGCAGCAAACAGCCCTGTGGTTTCATCCAGTTGCCTGGCAGCATCTTATGTTATGCCTGAAACTGATGGAATTGTGCTTTCTCTTGCCAGGGGCTCGCATGGCTTGACATGGCAAGCGGGAGATGAACAGGTCACCCAGAGCAAGCGGTGGCACATTCACAAGCAGAAGTGTTCAGACAAGCCATGGCATTCCTGCAGCACAATTGGAGTTAACCGAGCTGTGGCCAATGACACCGGCTATTTCAGCTGCTTCTACGACCACCTCCCCTTGGCTGAGGAACTTAGAGCAAAGTTATATGTCTTTGTGAAAGGTAATGCTGATGGTTTCTTTGATTCTGGTTCTATAGGGAAGCTAAGAAGGTGGCACAGGAAAAGATTAATTGGAGAAATTTCCTGATAGGGAGAACAATTAATCATTGGAATGGCTTGCCTCCAGAACTTGTCTAGAATGGTATAGGGGTTTGGACTAGAAGACCTCCAAGGTCCCTTACAACTCTCTTATTTTGTATTCTGTAATCCAGATCTCAAATTGGGTGGCAATGTCATGGCTAGAACAATTTCCATAGGGCTCCTGTTGTCAGCTTTATATTCAAGATTTTCTATCGCTTATACATTGGTGGTGCTGACACGTCTGTAGAAGGCCTCCAAAGTCCCTTCCAACCCTTATTCTATATTCCATTAAAAAAAATCAGAGGTTGGTATGATGTATTATCCCCAGGTACTTATGGAGATCACACTGAGGATCAAAGCAGGTATCCAATTCCAATCACTCCTATCAATAGCATAGTCAAGGACAGAGACATCTGGATGAAAAAAAATGAATATGGCAGCTGCATAGAAGTCCCAGGTCTTTTTGATCTGCATTTCATGTAAAGAAGAGATTGGGGCTTCAATTGCACAAGTATCACTTGAATGTTTGTATCTCCCCCTCCCCCAAATTCCCTTGGTCAATGGCAAAAGTTGTGAAAGTTGAAATCTGAAGTATCAGATATCCCACAAAGAACAAACAATCTGTCAGGCCAGCCTCCCTCAGCAACCAAGAAAGAAACCACTTAACTCCATTTTGCAGAATTAAGAGTACTTTTACTGGTTATGAGAAGATAGCAGCTAAGCAAAGCAAGATCTTAGGCAAAAGCGCACGTAATCATAGATATCAATATGTGACCCAACCCCCTGGTAACCCCATCCCTAGTCCAATCTGCAAATCCGTCAGGTGTAAGGTGTGTTCCATCTTCAAAAAACATCATCAGGTTGGTATGCAGGACAATTGGCCTTGGCGGGCCCATCCACTATCTCCAGCATGTGCAATAGATGATGAGAACAAAACTCCCTTTTCACAATCTCTCCTGTACTTAAAACTTCCCTTCCCAAATACCATGCCTTCCTCTCCCCGTTTCAATGACAGCCGAAAGCAAGTAGCGAAGCAGAGGCTGACATCCGGCCCTCCTTCAGGAAAAGAAGTAATCCCTGTAAGAAAATAAGAGAACAAAAGAAATGTACAAGTCAGTTAGGATCAGGGTTTATCAGGGTACTTAGAGTAGAACTTCCACAAGAGTCTAGGAGCCCTAACATGGGATTTGTCAACCCACTCAGCTTGGGAGGGGGAAAAATGTTTCCAGGAGACTAGATACTGAATCCGATTCCTATGTTTTCTGGAGTCCAAGATTTCCTTAAATTCAAAATGTTGCTCTCCTTCAATGAGAAGTGGGGCAGTGGGTGCAGGTAGGGGCGCACAAAAAGAAGAAGTGTGCTCAGGTTTCAAGAGGTTTACATGAAACACAGGATAAATCCGGTTAAGATGCTTTGGTAATTCCAATTGTACAGAAACAGAATTAATGATTTTCACAATAGGAAACGGGCCGACGTACTTCGGCCCCAGTTTCTTTGACTTCTGGGTGGTTTGGAGAAACTTTGTAGACAAAAGCACTCAATCTCCAATTTTGTACTCCCTTTGCTGCACCCTCTTTTTGTCAGCCTGTTTCTTGTGCGCCTGGTGAGCAGCCTCCAACGCTTTGCAAGTCATGGGCCAAATTTGGCAGAGCTGGTTACTCCACTCGGAGAGGGACAAAATTTGCAGTTTTCTCTGGGTAATCCAGGAATTGGTACAAAGTCCTGTCCAAATTGATGAAACACTGGAGGTACTGCTCCAAAACAGAATTAGTCCATTCACAAGCACCGTTAGTCTGAGGATGGTAGGCGGAACCTAGCCCCTGGGCAGAGCCAATTAACTTCAGAAATTCCTTCCAGAAGAGGGAGGTGAACTGGACCCCCCTATCCGAAATTATGCGTTCCAGTACTCCATGCAACCGGTATACATGTGAAATAAACAACTTAGCTAACGATTTAGCTGATGGGATTTTGGAACAGGGTACAAAATGAACTTGTTTGGAAAACAGGTCGGTGATAACTCAAATCATGGTATTTCCTAGACTCTCTGGTAATTCGACAACAAAATCCATTGATATCTCCTTCCACGGGGCCTCAGGATGGGCCACACCTTGGAGAAAGCCTTGGGGTTTTCCTGGTGGGCGTTTCGCGGCAGCAGATATTGGGCAACTGGCTATGTAGGACTCAATGTCTTTTTTCAATGAAGGCCACCAAAATTGCCTCTTAACCAGATGTAGAGTCTTTACAAAACCAAAATGGCCCGCCATTCATGAATCATGGGCCCATTGAAGAACAATAGCTTTCAGGTTAGCAGGAACATACAATTTAGCCCCTACCCAAGCCAGTCCATCCTTCATAGTACATTCATTTGAATGTTCCTTGAACCAGTCATCGGACTCAAGGCCTTCCTTGAGTTTTCAGATGAGGTCTGTTGTGACTTCTAAATTCGAATTGCTTTGGCTTCTGGTAACCACCGAGGCAGTAAGACTTTTTGCTGGGATGACTGGGTGAACCACACTCAGCTTCGAGCTGTTGTATTGTGGAAGTCTGGATAAAGCATCAGCCATGAACTTCTTCCCCCCCCCCAAGATGTACTTGAGGGTGAAATTGAACCAGTTGAAATATTGCGCCCACTGTATTTGTTTAGGAAATAGCTTTTGAGGGGTCTTCAACGCTTCCAAATTTTTATGATCAGTCCATACTTCAAAAAGGTGCTTAGCCCCTTCCAGGAAATGTAGCCAGGTCATCAAAGCCCACCTGACCGCATATAGCTCATCGACTCTCCATCTCTGTCAGTTTGCGGGAGGTGTAAGCACAAGGCTGCAGTTTCCCATCAGCGTTCGTTTGAAGTAATACTGCCCCACTGCCACGTCACTGGCATCAGTTTGAACAATAAATAGTGCATCCATATCTGTGTGTTTCAAAACAGGTTCAGCTGCAAAGAGTCACTTCAATTTTTCGAACGCGGCTTGACATTCCATATTCCAATTCAAAGGCTTACCCAGTCTGGGCTTTGCCTCCCCTTTTGACTTTAGGAGATTTGTAATGGGCAGGGCAATGCTGGCGAATGAAGGGATAAATTGACAATAAAAATTTGCAAATCCCAGAAAACTTTGTAATTGCTTGCAGGTGCGAGGGGCCACCCACTCAGTGACAGCCTGGACTTTTGCTGGGTCCATCTCGATGCCATTATGGGAGATGTGGTAGCCCAGGTAGTCAATTTTTTCTTGATGAAATTCACATTTAGACAATTTGGCATATAGTTCTGCGGTCCTGAGTTTTTTGAGTACTGATTGTACCAATGTCACGTGTTCTTCATGTGTTTCTGTGTAAATAAGGGTTTCATCAAGGTAGACCATCACGCCCTTGTACAGGTGCTCATGTAAAACCTCATTTATTAATTGCATGAAATCAGCTGGCGCCCCCTGTAGGCCAAATGGGAGTACTCCGAATTGAAAACAACCAAGTGGGCAGTTGAAAGCAGTTTTCCATTCATGTCCCTCTTTGATTCTGACTCTGGTTTAGGCCTCTCTTAGGTCCAATTTCATGAAGATCTTTCTTTTACTCAATTGGGCCAACATATCCTTCATCAGAGGGAGGGGGTAAACATTTTGCACGCATTCAGCATTAAGATTTTTGTAATTAACATAGAGACGAAAGGAGCCATCTTTCTTTTCTCTGAACAACAGTGGAGCGGCCACTCGTGGCCTAGCAGGTTCAATAAACCCCCTTTCTAAATTTTTGTCAATAAACTTCCTTAATTCTTCCATTTCACATGGGGTCCTTGAGTAAATCTGGGGTTTTGGAAGTTTTACCGCTGGGAGGATATCAACGCTGCAATCTGTTGCACAGTAAGAGGGTAATTTATCAGAAGATTTTTCACTGAAAAATCTTAGGTCCCAATATTCTTTTGGGATTTTCTCCTCCCCCTCAATTTTTTCCTGCACTATGGCTGCTAGGTTAGATTCAGCGTTGCAGTACTGGGAGCCCTCCCTTCTCCCTCAGGGGGCGTAGCAAATCGAATGCTCAACCACCCTTTCTTCCAGTTGATGTGTGGGTTCCATTTACGTAACCAGGGTAAGCCCAGTATGAGAGGCTGGTCCATTCCTGGCACGACAATGAAATTGTTTTCTGGTGATCTCCCATCCACATGTCTATTGGTTCAGTCACAAAATGGGCAGGGCTCCCCCAAGCTATAGACCCATCTAACTGGCAAAAGGCAATGGGGACTTTCAAAATTCTCAGTTTCAGGCCCTGTTTTTCCACCACTTCAGGGCTAATGATGCAACATGCGCAGCCCGAATCGAAAAGGGCCAGCATTTTTGCTTGGGCTCCAGTAGAGGGCACTTTAAGTTCTACTGGGATGGTCATGGGGCCCGATTGGGAACTTACCAGATGGTCATTGTCAGATTCGGTTTCACTTTCCTCTGATGAGGAGGATGGCTCTTCTTCTTCTGGAGTGAGAGGGAATTGAGCAGGAGGCTCCACCCCTTTCATGGCGGTGTCCCTTCTCTTCCCAGGCTATCTGGTTTTTTGCCCCCCCCCCGGCAGGGGGCTTTGGGCCCATCTTGGTGCGGCAGTTTGCTGCCCAGTGCCCCTCCTTTCCGCAACGGAAACAGGTGATCGACCGGGGCTTGCTTGTAGACCAGCTTTTCCCTCTTTTTGGAGCTCCTTGGGGGTGGGGTGGTGGGAGGGGTAGCTTTCTCTTTATCGTTGTCCTCACGGTACTTGTCTCTGGCTAGATCGATTTCCACATTCGCTGCCAATTCATACCAGCATTGCAAATTATACCACCACCACCACCCCCGTTTACACAGTTCTGTTATATATCTTTGTTTAAGCCATCCATGAAGCTGTCCATTAGAGCCTCTTTTGACCAATCCCGGATATAAACAGACAATTCACGAAACTCTTGTACATAATC